TTTTTTTAAAAACCTATGTACACAATTGCACATTAATGTGATGATGTCTATTTTCCAGATTTCCCATCATTTCGCTCAAAACTCCCAAGGCTTTGGCAACTTGCTCTCGCGGGTGAGTGCTGAGGGTCCGGCTCCTCCATAGGGAATTTGTCTTCCTTGCAGGGACTTCTGAAAACCTCGTAGGGTCCAAGCCTGAGTCCACCTTTATTTTTGGTCTTCATCGTTTTGTGGGATTTTTCCCTGTTAAGCAAGTATCTTTAGATAGTCGCTGTACCAATTACGCATCAAGTCACTGGGAATCCATTCAGTACATCATCTGTGTCTTCTCCGTGGCCCCACCGCACTTGAAATCACGAGGCTAAGTGGAAGGTGAAAGAATAGGTTTGTCATTTGTGACTTTGGCGAGACAAACAAACAAAACCCTCCTGACATCAAGTCCATTCTGTTTCACGGCGACCCGATAGGACAGGGTAGAACTGCCCCTGTGGGTTTCCAAGACCGTCACTCTTTACAGGAGTAGAAAGCCCCGTCTTCCTCCTGCAGAGCTGACTGGTCGTCTCAAAGTGCTGACCTTGCAGTCTAGTGTAGAGCCACGGGGGCACGTGGGCTCCCTGACTTTGGTAAAGCAACTAGGAACAGTACGCTTCCAACTCCAACCCACTGTCATCGAGTCAATTCTGCTCAGAACCACCCTGTAGGAGAGAGAACTGCCGCCTTTGGGCGTCAGCGGTTATAAATCTTCACGGGAGCAGACAGCCTCATCTTTCGCCCTCAGAGTGACTGGTGAGTTCCAACCTCTGACCTTGCTCTCAGCAGCTCAATGCGTCACCCACTGTGCCACCGGGGCCCCTTATTCTGCCTCGGCATTAGACATAATGCACTCAGAAACACAGGCTTTGCCCGTGTGGACAGAGAGATGCTCGTGCAGCCTCTCGGTGTTAGGCTCAGGACGACCTGAGCTTGGATTCCAGCTCTACAACGTACAGTCCAAGAACCTTGAGACAACGACTTCTCCTCTCAAAGACTCCCTTTCTCCAGTTGTGACAGGGATGCTAATGGCAGCTGACTCCCAGGGAGTTTGAGATGAGTGCTGAGATCATGCAGAAAGGGCCTGGCTTGGTGCCTGGGATGCAGTATAAGCTCAGTAAATGTCAGGTGGTATTGTTGGAGTTTGGATGTCTATTCTTGTTCTGAGTTCAAGGGATTTTATTTTTCATGTTTTGGGTCTATTCTAACACCAAATAATAATTCTTACTCTCCATGCTGTGAAATCGCATTCATGACCGATTGTCACCTCACCCCAAAGTTCTGGTTTCCCCCCCCAACAACTCCCAGCCCCTGATCGTTGTCCTCCCCTCCCCATAAACGGGCAGATTGCAGAGGCCTACATATTGTCCCAGCCCTTCATGGTCCGCATCATGGCGACAGAACCTCCTGCGGTCAGCTTACAGCCGGGGAACTTCACCCTGGACATCCCCGCCTCCATCATGATGCTCACCCAGTCGGAGAATTCCACCACTGAAACCATCGTTTCCATGGACTTTGTAAGTAGGCGGAGCCAAGAGGGCAGCCCCGTGTGTGCCAATCCCATTCCTGCCCTGGGCCACTGACCAGGGGCTTCCTGCTCTTTGGAAGGGTGAGGGGCGGTGCATTCCTTAGAAACGTATACTTCCACCAGCACTGAAACCTCCCGGTCACTGTTGTTGTGGGGTGCCAGTGAGCGGCACACTGGGTGTGCAGTGTGACAGAGTAAAACTACCCCCATAGGGTTGGGGTGGGGGGGCTGCAGTCTTGACAGGAGCAGGTCACCAGGCATTTCTTCCTCAGAGAAGCTGGGTGAGTTTGAACCGCCAACTTTTCAAGTAGCAGCCCTGTGCTTAACTGCCGAGCCGCTGCCAAAGCTTCACACCCCCACTGCACACGTTCCCACTGCTGCCAGGGCATGGCTGCTGGGACAACGTTTTTCCTCCAAATGAGTCCGTCCAGATGAAACGCAAGTTTCTTTGGACTGCTGAAGGCCAAAGATGGGATGGAAGTGAATCTAAGAAAAATCTCCCTCCCACTCACTGCCATCGAGTCAAAGCCGACTCACAGGGACCCGATTGGACAGAGTCGAGCTGCCCCTGTGAGTTTCCATTACTGCCACTAGTTGTGGGGGTAGAAAGTCTCATCTTTGTCCCAAGGAGCAGCTAGTGGTTTCAAACTGCCAACCTTGCGGATTTCAGCCCAACACATAACCACTCGTCAACAGGGCTCCTCTCCCACACACAGTACATGTGACAAAGCGATTCGGAGTAAAGAGAAAATAATTTAAAGGGAGTTCTCCAACAAAAAGTCTTTCTTTCGTTTTCTTACCTGCAAGAGAAACATTTTTTTAGAGGGATTTGTTTCTGCTAGGAAACAAACCAAACCAAACCCACTGTCGCCATGGTGTCAATGCTGACTCACAGTGGCCCTCGAGGACAGGAGCGCTGCCCCCTTGGGGTTTCTGAGACTGGGACTCTTTACGGGAGCAGACAGCCTCATCTTTCTCCTGGAGAGCAGCTGGTGGATTTGAACAGCTGACCTTGTGGTTAGCAACTCAATGTCTAACCCCTTACGCCACCGGGTCTCCATTTCGACTCTAGGAAAGGGGATCCGTGGCCCCAAAGAGACAAATGTTGTTGCTATCCACAGGTTGCTAGTACCAGCGTCGGCCTGGTTATCCTGGGACAAAGGCTGGTCTGCTCCTTATCGCTGAACAGGTACGCTCGATCGACTCGGACTGTCAGAATCCTCACTCAAAGTGAGTGAGCATGTTGCTGCCCGGTCCTTTTTTTATTTCTGTCTTCGTTTTGGAGGTTTTCCTGTTGAGAGAAGTCGGGATGGGTGGATCTAGGAAGACAGCAGCTGGGGACCCAGAAGGGAAGGAGGGGGTGAAATGGGAGTTAACAGCAATGGGCACAAAAAGGAAGAAAAGGTTCCAAAGTTGATTGCACTGATGAATCACAACCAGTCTTAATGTGCTTGAACTATTGACTTGGACGATCTGTTTAATTCTAGCTCAATAACACTATTCAAAAAGAAAGTAAGCACAAGTAAGCCCGTGCTTAGCTTGTTTATTGGGTAATTTGAAAAGAAAAGCGGTGTTGTTGGCATTGTCTAGGACCCGAGCCACTGAAGTACTTCCCTAACAGACCAGATCACTTCAAAGTGTGAACGTAGCTAAGACTTGGGATGTGGAGTCTGTCTTTGGCTTCCCAGCAAGGTGATGCTTAAATAAAATGGGGACCAAAACAGTTATAAACATCCTTGTATAAGATAAATGCACATGTTAATATAATATTCTATTAAATCGTAGGTTTCCAAACGGATTTAGCCTACCGCCCCCTTTCCAGGAAAAAAAAAATCACTCAGTCTTTGTGTTAGTCGGGTAGACTAGAGAAACAAATTCATGGATACACATATGTGTCTAAGAAAGGTTTGTGTACAAGAGTAGTTGAATATTGAGAAAACATCCCAGCCCAGTCCAGATCAAGTCCATAAATCCGATATTAGCCCATACGTCTGATACCAATCTATAAAGTCCTCTTCAGACTCGGAAACACATGGAATGGCGCTGAATGCAGGAAGATCACAGGCCAGTGGGTGCAAAGTCAGTGGCGGTAGAAGCATCTCAGCGCTGGCAGGGGTTTCCCTCTGGCTCCTCCAGTTCCCAGAGCTGCATAAGGGTAGGTCCATGTGGCTTCTCCTCGGGGATGTCTTGAAGGAAGTGAGCCGAGAGAGTCTCTCCTGCCTCCAAAGAGGAAATCCAGGAGTTCCCAGAATTCTCAGGAGAAGGCCATGCCCACACAAGCCTCATTGGCTATGACCGGATTGACAGACTAGACTTCACCCCATCACTCTTAATCCTTCCAAATTGACACCAGATTATGTAACTACCACAGCACCGCTCTGGCAGTGAAGGACTTCTGTACTGTAGCCCACAGTCCAGGATAAAATGTAGGTATTGCTTTGGCAGCACACACGCACCCCCATCATCCCACTATCCCCCAGGGGAAACACTGACATAATGAATACCATATCAGCCATAAGATCCTGTCATATAATTCATATAATTATCCTCATCAGCAAACTCAGAGAGAAGGATGTTGGGGAAAGAGAACAGAGGTTGGGAATGAAAGGACCCAAGTGTTCACCCCTCTCACTGGTTCTGTCACCATGACCACGTCGATTAACCAGCTCGGGTCTCATTTCCTTAGAAGCAGGGCTGGTGAGACTCTGGGCATGTACTTTGGGCATGTCATCAGGAGGGACCAGGCCCTGGAAAAGGCCATCGTGCTTGGTAAAGTGGAAGGTCGAGGAGAAAGGAGAAGCCCCTCAATGAGACGGATTGGCGGTGACGACAGCAGTAGACTCCGACGTGTCTGGAATTGGGAGGATGCTAGGGGGGAAGGAAGGCCTTCGTTCTGTTGGTGTCGTTGTGAGTCAGAATCGACTCCGCAGCAGAGTCCCACCATCCAAAGAGACGTTTTCCAAAGGTCCACCGTTTGACCTTATGAACAGGACCCCTGCTTCCTGCCCACTCCATGGTGGTCTCCTTCAGACCCGAACCCTAGGGAGGGTCCCTGCACCCTGATGCCGGAGAGGAGTGTGAGCCGCAGTTACATCGTTTGCAAAATGCAAAGGCGGGACCCTGAGTTCCAACATCATTAGGCATTTCAACATGACGACAGCAAAGTCTTCAATGAAGCACGGGGCCCTTCAGAGAGCAAGGCCCTGCGTCTGAGGGCCTCTCCTGAAGTGGGTGTTACTGCAAACCCCAGGTGGGAGCAGGGTAGGGGCAAGAAAGTGGCCCACTCACCAGAGGCTGAGAGGAGCCAAGGGGTCCAAGGAAGGCTTCAGGGCGGCTGTGCTGAGGAGGTGACCTGCCGCCCACAGGCTGCCCCAGCCGGCTCTTCCACTGCTTGGCACCTAGAGGGCTGTATTTCAGGACCAGCTGGTTTGGTCTGAGTGATGTCAGCAGGAGACGGTGTAAAGTGGGTGGAGAGCCTTGGGCCATCCCTGAAAGGAACTGGGGACCCTGGACCTCTGGGTCTCGAAAGAAGGTTCTTGGGAACCCACAGCCTTGTCAACCTGCCTGAACGCACCTCTTCCTGGGGCTGCTCACGGCTGGCCCCTTAGACATGGGAGACAGGTCAGTGTAGGGGTGTGAGAGTCAGACTCTCTGTGTTCGGGTCCCAGCTCTGCCATGGGTTCCTTGGGGGGTCTTTGGCAAGTTCTTAACTTCTCTGCACCTCCACTCCCTCATCGGTAAAACGAAGCGTTGACAAAGCCCACTCCCGGGGCTGGTGTGAGCAACGTGTGAGTTAGTGTCTGGAGAGTTGTGTGAAGTGTTTGGCGCAGCAGCTGGCTGTTGCTCTTCTCCGAAAGCCCACTTCCATCAGTTTGTCTTGCTGGGGTGGTTTGCAGGTTACTGGTGACGCTGAAAAGGATGCCATCGGTATTGCAGATACCAGCAGGGTCAGCCACGGTGAAGAGGTTGCAGAGGATCTTCCAGGCAAAGAAGAGACTGGGAAGAAGGAAGAGATGGCCCACTTGTGAAAAAAAATTAGCCACACAACATTAGGAAGCGCAGTGGCACGCTGTCTGAGCGCACGGTGGAAGATGAGTCCCTCAGCTGGAAAGGCACGACATAGCGATGGCAGCAAGGGGCTCGAACATAGCACACCGTGGGCATGTTGTCCCTGGAGAAGGTCACCCTGCTCGGTGAAGTAGACGTCAACGGAGACGAGGAAGGGCCTGGAGGAGAGGGACTGACACAATGGATGCAACACGGCTTGCTCAACCTCACAATTGTGAGGATGGTGCAGTGTTGTATGCTGCTGAATGTAAGGTGGCCATGAACCCGAAAAGACTCCACGGCTCTAACAGCCACAACCCAGAGGCTTGATGCTCACACACTGTCACAGAGCCGGTGCCAACCCACAGGAACCCGATAGGGCAGGGCAGAATAGCCCCAGTGGGTTTCTGAGAGACTAACTCTTGACCGGAGTAGACAGTTTTTCTCCCACGGAATAGCTGTTGGCTTCGAACTGCTGACCTTTTGGATCACCACCTAGTGTGTAATCACTCCATCACCAGGACTCTTGACAGAGGCGAGAGAAGATGCGATCGTGGGTGTCCCGAAATGGAGCAGGCACACAGGCCTGTTTCCCCCTCAATGACGGAAGCACAGAGCACAATGCCCCCTGTTCACGGTCAGTGCTTAAGAAATACTGGTCATCACTCTTGATAGTACTTCCTTCTCTTTCTCTACCCTAGGATCAAATGTTGACCAAATAAAAGGGAGCCCCGGGTCCCAGGGGCCTTGAGAAGTCAGAAGGATCTTATAAGCTGTGGACTTGGTCCTCCGAGTCATCAATTAGATCCTTACTGCGCTAGCTAAAGTTGGACACTTTGTTCCAAGCACAGGCAATCCCAAGGGGGGGTGGGTTGTTTGTTTGTTTGTTCATTTTTCAGATTAATTCAGAGGCTAAATTAGCCCACACGTTCCCTTTCTTGGGTCTCATCCAGCTGATTTAAATTCCCACCCCCTGTTCTAAGTTCAAGGAAATAAAATACACGTCATTGTTGAACAATGTGGAACTTGAAAGCATTATTCAGCCTTGTCCTAATTGAGCTCTAGATACTCCCAAGCTGCACTCCACCCCACTGTGGCCAACAGTGTCGGATTACCCAATAAGCAAAATGTTTCAGGCTGCCTTCTCTGGAGAAGGAACATCTGTAAAGCCTGTTTCTGGGTATACAGAGAGATTTCTATCAGGAAATGGCTCACACAGTTGTAGAGGTGAGCAAACTCCAAATCTGTGGGCCAGATATTAGGCTTGAGGCTGTTCCTGACTCAGGTACTCAGGGCCTGATGCGCCCGGGCTCTGCTGGAAGACCACACGGTTCTGACTGCAGAAAGGAATAAATCTGAAGGTCGGCAGGTAAGATGCCAGGATGCTGAAGACTCCCAGGATCAGCAAGTAATATGGCAAGCCGTTGGCTCAAGTTCAAAGAACCAGAGATTGATGGGCCAGATGCAGGAGTCAAACTCAACAGAAAAGCAAGCAAGCTTTTCCACAGCATCAATTTATATTGGAAGCAGACCATACTCTGAAAGAGATCCCGTCTTGGGGGGGGTTCTTAGTTCGTAACTGCCAAACTACTGAGAATGATGCCCAATCAAGTTGACACAAAACGTTAACTATCCACAAGATAAGCACGAGTTTACTTGTGTTTACTCAATCACCTGTAGGGAACAATTTCACCTTTGTTTCACCACTTCAAAGATTCTGCTTCTAAGGATGGCTCACATCTGGCTTTCTCCATCTGGCTTTCTCCAAGTACCACAGCTTCTTCCATCAGAATCAAAGCTTCTTTTCAAAGTCACAGTCCCTGACAGGGCAGAGTACCTAGGAAGCAAAGTAAGCACTGACTTACGTGTGCTTACTTACTATTAGTAAGTCAGACCTTACCTTGCATATGGGATAATCTGCCCCTGGTACAAACACACAACCCCACCCACTTATACCCATTGTCACTGAGTCAATGCCAACTCAGAGTGACCCGTAGAACTGTCTTATGGGTTCCTGAGGCTGTCAATCTTCATGGAAGCAGAAAGCCTCCTCTTTCTCCTATAGGGCCACTGGTAGATTCAAACTGCTGACCTTGCAGTTAGCAGCCCATTGTGTAAACCCACTATTCCATCAGGGCTGCCGAAGCCCTACCATCTCTCTTAAACATCCTGTCAGAGAAGACAAAGACATCTGCCTACAGGCAGAGGAAAGCACCAGCTCACTATCCTCCTCGGGCCAGAGGCAGCGGAGCATTCCCCAACGTAATCCATCTGCAGAGAAAACTGGAGAGAAAAACAGGTCCGTGCAAGAACGGAATCGTTGTTTCTATGGAAGCCATGCTTTGGACCGGTCAGCAGAGCTAGAGCTTGTCACCTGGGCTGGTCCCCACCCCACTCTCCCTCTGAGTTACTGTGGAAGCCAAACCAAAACTCACGGCCATCAAGTCGATTCCAGCTCATAGAGACCCTAAAGGACAGCGTCAAACTGTTCCGGTGGGTTTCAGAGAGGGCAGAGCTTCACAAGAGCAGAGAACCCCATCTTCTGCTGAAAGAGCTGGTAGAACTAACTGCTGGCCTGATGGCTAGCAGGCCAAAGGTGTAACCCACGATGCCACCAAGTCTCCATACCACGGAAGTAAGAATACTCCGGTTTCCCTTCAGGTCGTACAAAGCTTTCACCTTGCACCACGAGCAGTAGAATTCACCAGCAGAAGAGGAAACCTCAAACGGATCCTTCTTCCAGCTCCTAGAGGGAAGCGATGGTCCACAGGAGGCAATGAAGTTAAGGCACCGACTTACTTGCCAAGAGCGCCCTTTGATACCAGGATGGCGCATCCCATTCCCCCCCCTCCAAAATCGTCCGTCATGAGATCAAATCTGCAACCTGTGACCTGTCAACTCTTAGCTCCTGACCCGACCCTTCAAGCCAACCAACCTCAGCTCCCACAGCTTCCTGAGATGAACATCCCCTCTGACTGGCTTGTCGTAGTCAAGGGGGTCCCAATCCCAACCAACACTGACCTACCCATCTCTTTGATCTGTCTCTTGGTTCGTGCATCCACTCGGGGAGAATTTGTTGAGCACCTGCTCTGAGCCACGCACCGTTCTTGACACAGAGAGGCGAGAGAAGACTGGTTCTCACCTTCCAGGTCCACAGAACGGGAGAGACACTTACAGTAGTGGGCAGTTGTAACACTGGGTGTGAAGGGACATGATTGAAACGTGAACTTAGTGCTTCTTTCAAGGGGCAATGTATTTCCCCCCTGAAGCTATGCTCCATTGTCATGCACACACACAAAATCTCACATGCCTACACACACTCCCATACACACTGACCACATCCCCCCTCACACTCACTCACACTCAGACATACACATTCACCCATTCATACAAACTCACGGGCACTCCCATCCTCACACAAACTCATTCAAACTCACATGCAAACACACTCGTCCCTGCTCCCACACACTCCCTCACCCACACCCACATGCGCTCACACACCCGCACACACTTCTCTGGCCCACGCTCCTTCCGTCGCCTGGTCAGAATTCCAGGCGCAAACCTCCGTGGGGTGTCATCAGTATGTGGCAGGCACCTGAATGTACACTGTTTGTATTGTTCTCTGGTTGCTTCCTGTAGTTCCAGCACCTCTCCATCACACATGCCACACACAGACATCGTCTACATTCTCCATGTTGCTGAGCACAGAATGAATAGCTGGAATACTGGTGCTGCTCTGTTCTCTGGGCTGCTGCCAGACTGAGCATTACTGAACACAGCCACCACCTCCCTTCTTAAGGGAGCCTTCATTACATTCCTTGTATTTAGGTTAAAGATCAACGTCCTAATGTGGCATGAGAAGGTCTCTCTGGTCAACCCCCATCTGTGTCTTTCTCTAGCATTATCTTGGGCCCTCGCCCCCTGTGTGTCTGTTCCCTCCACTGGCCTTTGAAACCTCTGCCTGGACCCTTCCTCTCTTCCTTCCCCCCTTTGCCTTTTTAATTTCTGCTCCTTCTTTGGTCAGCCCAAAGATCCCTTCCTGCTCCCCCACTCCCAAATGAGGTCAGCCTCCTTTGTCGTTGGCCTCAAGGAACTTGCTTCTTTCCTTAAGGGCATCCATCTCATCTTGACGTTAACCTTCCATTAGTGGGAGTCTTTGATCTGGGCCTGCCTCGCCAAGAGGCTGGACCTGCTGGAGAGCAGCGATGTGTCTGGTGTTTCGCACAGTCTTATCTCCTGCATCTGCTGCAGCATTGACCCGGTGCCCGATACATATTTGCTGGGTGAATCGGTGAAGGAAGGAACGAAGTGCCTAGAATGTGCCCTCTCTCAGTCCGGGGAACACAGAGGTGATTGAAGCTGGATTCCTGCCCCCACGACTCTGGGATCTATTGGCAATGCCTGCCAGCGGCATCAGATTGGAGGAGAGGCGATGTTTGTGTCTGTGTTCTGATTGCCTTGACATTCATTCTGTCATATTTGATCTTCATCTTACTGAGCGGGGGCCCTGGTAGCACAGCTGGTTACACATTGGGCTGCTAACCCAATGGTGAGCAGTTCAAAACCACCAACTGCTCCATAGGAGAAAGCTGAGGCTTTCAGCTCTGGTCATGATTTACAGCCTCAGAAACCCACAGGGGCAATTCCTCCCTGTCCTACAGGGTCACGAAGAGTCACAACCGACTTGCTGGCAGTTAGTTTTGAAAACTTGTTAAATCGGATGCAAGATAAGGCTCCCTTCCCTTTGCCCACCACTCTGTCGTCTACTCTGTGGCTGTGCTGTAACCCGCAGCCCCAGAAATGGAGAATTCCCAGGAGCGTGGCTCTAAGTACAAAGTTCGAGACTCGGTAGAAGATGTACAGTGTCCCTGGATGGTGGAAATGGCTTAGGTGCTCAGCTGCTAACTCAAAGACTGGCCCTCAGAGCCCACCCAGAGGTACCTGAGAAGAAAGGCCTGGCGATCTATTTCTGGGGGACAGGAGCCCTTGAAAACTCTTTGGAGGCCAGTTCTACTGTGGGCTCCCTGGAGTCAGCAGGTTGGACTGTCCACAGACCCACATCTCGCACCCCCTGGGGGTTTGTATGTTTTTCAGAACCAAGGTTGTAGTAAGGTCTTGGCTGGTTTCTCCTCTCGTTAGTGGACTTCCTCTTCAGCAAATCAATCTGGCAGGAACGTCTGCGGAGGCCTAGGAAAGAGGCAGGCAGACGTTTGGTGGCAAAGGAGCCAGTCTCTTCATGGGAAACCGCCAGGCAAGCTCTCCCACAGCAAGTGGAGCCAGCTTGATGGCAACCAACAACATCAGCAAACTGAGATTTGTCTTCTGGTGCTGGCTCTGTGATCTTGGGGCAATGATGTGGCCTCTCTAAACCTCGGTTTCCTCGCCTGCCACCAAGAGGGATTAACCAGGGCACCTCTCACCAAGATGACATTTCTAAAACATTCCAAGAAGAGTGCACGTCACAAAGCATCATCCCCATCCCCGTGAACATCACTGCCGTCCTCAACCTTGTCGTCATCCTTGCTGGGGGCATTCCTAAGGGACCAGCCTGGCTCAAGTTGAACTCAAGGCTGAGTTCAGAGCAGCAGGATGACGCAGACACTGCTTCTGATCCCCGCTCGGCGCTCAATCCAAGCTGCCAACAATAAAGCCCAAGGAACAAAGGCGCTTGGGGACCCCCTTCCTGAGTGCAAATCCAAGCCTTGTTGTCTCAGAAAGCAGTAGCGTGGCGAATGCAATTGGACACGACGCCCTTGCAAATGTCCTTGTGTGCATGTCTTTTGATAGTGACGCATGGACATAAACACATCTTTCCCTGTCTCTGTTAGAGTCACCGCTGTTCCATCGACCCGCCTTTAACCTTGTTTGTGTTTCCTTTCAGGTTCCGCCTCTTGCTGCCAGCGTCCAACCACAACAACATTGAGGTAGGACTTGACACTCTGCCCTCCCCCCAGCTCTCTCTCTCTCCCCCACCACCCCTCTCTCTCCTCTCTCTCTCAAGGCAAGGTTTAGAACGTTCCTTTAGGCTGCCTGGTTGTTTTCCATGCCTCTGAGCACTCCGTTTCCTGCGTGTCAATGGTCAATGTGAACGTTTATAATTCCTGATGTCGTTCTTATATCCCAAGCCTATTGAGTAGTAAACAGGAGAGGAACCTCCCATTCACTTTTACCCATGCCAAGACTTAAGAAGGCATTGGAAAGGCTGTTAGGAAATGTGTAGGGGATATGCTAAATTAATTTCATATCTAATCTGAGCTACTTCTCTTAGAAACCCCAAGGTTATAATCCCTTGCTCCATATCTACCTATTCTCTTAACCTGCTTAATTTTCCTCCATAGGGGGAAAAATAGATCATTTTAACACTTAGAGTACATGTTTGTTTATTATATGTCACACACACAGACATAGACATACTCATACACATTCTAGAACAGTATGAACATGTTAGACCAGATCATTCTTGCTTGTCGATGTTGTATTATGCATTGCAGCATGTTTGACAGCATCCCTGGCCTCTGTTCACCAGATGCCAGCAGCACAGCCCCCATACTTCCACGGGGAAACCAAGAGGTTAACCTAGGATGTGTAGCTTCAGAGCCAGCACCGCTGACCTGCCTAGCTAAGTACATAGGAAAAGGAGCCTTGCTGACATAGTGGCTCATGCATTGGGCTGCTAAGCACAAGGTCAGAGGTTCAAACCCATCAGTAACTACAAGAGGAAAAAGATGAGGCTGCCTGCTTTCACAAAGATCTGAAGTCTCAGAAACCCAAAGGGAAAGTTCCGTCCTAGATGGTCACTATAATAACAGCCACCCCACCGCACCCCCTTGTAAAAAAATGGACAATGAGGCAACTCTGACTGAGAACATCCTGCAGGATTGAGAGTAGAAGTGCCCCTTTTGGTCCATAAAGCTTAAATCTTAATGGAGGCAGAAAGTCTCATCTTTCTTCCAAGGGGAGCCCAGGGCTTTGAACTGCTGGCCTTGTACTTAGCAGCTCAACACACACATAACCCACTATGTCACCTCAATTCCTTTCTATCCTGATAAGATCGAGGCCAATGCCCATCAACTCCAGGCATGTGTGTTTCAGAGTGCCCGGATTCAGTCACTGACCCAGGTTCCCCCTTTTGATCTTAGGTCCTGAGGTTTGAGAACATCCTGTCTTCCATCCTTCACTTCGGAGTGCTGCCGCTGGCCAATGGTGAGGCATTCTTGGGAACAGAAGTGGCCCCTGGGCATTGGCTAAACACAGGAGCTAGTGGGGGCCTTTCCACCCCCTTGTACTTCGAGAGTGCTGTTTGGAAGTCCAGGAAGGAGCCAGAAATGACAAAGTTTGTACCATCGGATGATTTGGTTGTGAAATTAATCCTTGCAGGTCCACACACTGCGAGAAACTCTATGTGCAGACTCAGCAAGAAAGGCTGATTATGATGGCTTGGTGGAGCAGTGAGAGAAAGGAGATGGGTCTCCTTAGGGGATGGTGTGTTAGTCTGGGTAGACTAGAGAAACAAATCTATGGACACACACGTGTATAAGAAAGAAGTTATATACAAGAGCAATTGAACATTGAGAAACATCCCAGCCCAGTCCAGTCCAAGGCCATAAGTCTGATATTAGCCCATATGTCCGATACCAATCTATAAAGTCCTCTTCAGACTCACGAAACACATGCAGTGAAGCCAAATGCAGGACGATCACAAGCCAGTGGGAAGAAAGTCTTTGGGTCCAGTGGCGTTGTAAGCATCTCAGTGCTGGCAGGGCTCTCTCTGTGGCTTCTCTGGCTTCTGAGGTCTGGTTGCGTCCATGTGGCTTGTCTTCTGCAATGTCTCCCCGGGGGTAGCAGAGAGAGAGAGAAGCGTCTTCCACCTCCAAGAAGGAAGTACCAGATTTCCCAGAATTCTCAGGAGAAGACCACACAGAAGTCTCATTGGCTATCTCCAGATTGTCAGCCTAGACTCCACCCCTACACTCTTAATCCTTAAATTGACACCAGATTAGGTGACGACCACAGATGGTTTTGTGAATCCTCCACAGACCTCCCTCTGCACTGACAGCTTAGCTAAAAGACTACCCTACCCTTGCCCTGCACAGCCACTGTAGCACACTGCAGCGTATTGGCGATGATGGCCCATTGAAATGTGTTTTCTACTAGAGATGAAGATGTTCTCAGGCCCTCTTTTATGACGGTCGCCTCAAAAATGAATGGGCAAATTGCCAACACATTTCTCTCGCTCAGATGCACTCAACTACGGGTGCATCTTGAGGACCCCTTGATGAATTCTTCCAGGGAAAGGCCAGGGACATGGCACCCAGGAGAGAAGATGCAGAATGCAAATGGGTGGAAAGATACATTATTTCAAAGCTGTTTACTCGCCTCTTATGAAAAACGTCCTGAAAGGTCGGTCCCCCAGACACAACATTTCTTATGTTTTTATTCTGCATTTTAGCCAAATTGCAACAGGGATTTCCTCTGCCCAATCCGTACAAGATCTCCTTGGTCAATTCAAATATTGAAGTGTTTGAGGTAAGCGTGTTAATCTCGTGGTCATTAACCCATTTCCTGTTTTATGGTGTCTGTTTTGTTTGCTTTGGGGTTTTTTTGTTGTTGTTGTTTTCCCCAGCCCAAGGAATTTCATAAACCACACATTTAGCTCTTCAAACTTGCAAGTAATGCTGGGCGGCATTTTAACTTGAATTTAAAAATGGGACCGGGTCCAATTTCACTTAGTATCCAGCTGCATTCACTCCGTGGGTCACAAAAACGCGCTTCAAGACGTGTTATTTCACTTGTTCCACGGCGAAACCTCGGAGGCTGGGACTGTCCGTCCTGTTTTATATGTGAGGAGAGAGCATGCGTGGTTCGTGGGAGAAGTCTGGCCCTCCACGCTGGAGACTCGGCTTCAGTTCTGTATGTTAGTGGAGGCTTGTGTGTGGCTATGATGCTTCCAGACGGAGGGAGGCGCAGAGAAAAGGCCTGGCAACCTACTTCTGAATAGCAGCCTGTAAACACCCTATGGACCACAGCACTCATATCTCCATCTGGCCCAGAGGCCAGGCAGAACCAGAGGATCAGGGGGAGTGGGGGGATGCTGGGGGTACCAATCAACCACAGCAACACAGGTGACGGGAGGAACACTCGGAAAGGTAAGGTCACAGCCACAGGTGGAAAGGGGTGTGGCTGTGACCAGACTGGCTCTTATGGTTCTCCTGGTCCACGAGCTGTCCCTTCTGGGTCCAGCAATCTGTGCAGAACTAATTCCAGGTTTATCCCCATTGACATCAGGCCATGTTTGTCTTCCTCCTTCTGGGCGCTGTTTCGCTCAGGGAGGTGGATATACATATCCGGAATTCTCCAATCCTACACATTTCTCGCTTTCTTTTCCTCCTCTCTCACACACGCTTGTACACACTGCACACACACACACACACACATACACACACGATTCTACAAAGTCTCCCGAGAGGACAGAATTCCAGAAAGGCCAGTTGTGTGTCTCAGATACTCTGCGGCAATCCAGGAAGCTGGGCGGGGGAAGCCTGGTGCCCTGAGACCCTCGGGGCAAATCCAGGCATCCTAAGACTGGAAGTGCCCAAAGCCTGCCTCGGCCTCCATCATGTCATTCTTTCCAGGGTTTCCTGCTGATTTCCACCGACCTGAAGTATGAACAGAACTCGAAGCCACCGAGCTTTCAGGGCTGGGATCGTCTGAACCCGAAGAACAGATTCTGGAGTGGGATGCCAACCCCCTGATGGCCCGTGTGCAAAGCCGCTGCTGGAAGGACAGGGCCCTTAACCCCTCACGGCTCCTGGACACCCAGCGGGAGAAGAAGTCCTCTCTGGCTTGTCTAAAGCCCTTATGAAGGGCATGCACAAGATAGTTCCTTCTCGGGCCTGCAATGTGTGTGTGCACATAGGATGGGTGTTTGAGTGTGAGTGTGTGTGTGTGTGTGTGTGTGTGTGTGTGTGTG